ATTATCGACCATTGTTCTGTAGGAGGTCCACCGCGCTATGTTAGACTTTACATAAACATAAAAATCATACATCTGGTGCGCACAACACACAACTTTCACTTACCCTTCAACTTTGAATAGAAATTATTTTCTGGCCATGGTGGGCTATTATAAAAATTTTCAATGGCATTTTTAACCGAGCTAAATGTAAATGCTTACAGCTAACAAATCATAAATGCCATTAAAATAACAAAAGTCCTATTTATTATATCACCGGTTAATTATGGGTTGTACAATCCGTTGAATATGGATTGTCGGATTCGTTGATTATGGATTGTACGACTATTAGTTATTAAACTGTTATTTTCCATTGCAAAGTTTACTAAAATGGAATTACGAGATTTGCATTGTCTGTCATAGACAGGTCATAAGTTGTGACACTAATTCGAAGTGGATACTGTTGGAATATCACAAAGGGAATATTCGTCAAATTATTCACTAATTAAATTTTCAAAAAGGTTACATGATGATTTTTTTGAATAAACGGACGATATATACGTAAGTATTCAAATATAATATCGGATCTAGGGTTATTACACTACAGTAAATGTATTTAAGGTTATAAACATATGCTTTATACATCCATGAAATAATTTGATATTTCACACAAATACAATGTAATAGTTTTTTAAACAATGGCATTGCCTTTATTAAGTGGATTTTAAATACTTTTTTCAAACTTAAAAATATTTTTAAAAGTTTACATTTAGTTAGTAAATTTCATTTAATTTCTTTGAAAAAAATGTGATTAACGTTAAGTAATATTAGTTTTCAAAAATGATTATTTCTATTTTTTCCGCCACTCTCCGTTATCTTCTACAACTTTCTATATTAGATGTTGCTTTTTCTAAAACTCTCCTTTTTCCAACGATATATTATACGTATACCTTCTCACTAGTATTTCCAGAGATTCATTTTCGACCTGGATAAGAATTTTTATTTTTTTATCCTTTATTCAATTATCAAATTCTTTCATAAGATATATTTAGAATATTTTCATAACTCTGAAAAATTTGAGATGATTAATTTTTTTAAATAAACCATATTAAAGGAACTTTAGAGAAAGACGCATATGAAATGAACATTGGGCATTTATTATTATTATTAAAAACACTTTATTCAGAAATATTACAATTTGTCACAGTTAAGGACACTTATAATAGAGTTCAGAGATTGCATTCATACCGTATACACAAAAATATAAATAAATAAAGTAATAACAAAAGAATAAGAAGAAAGAACAAAAGAGTAAAGAAAAAAAAAATATATATACACATAAGTAAATAAAAATAGAAATAAAAGTAAAACAAACACCTTATATAAAACATACATTATTTACAATTTGCCAGGTGATCTCCGAACCAATCCTGTCCCCTCCACATGTGGAGGGAAAAGGGAGGCCTAGGAGATCCCTACGCTTCTCCCTCAGCCACTTCACTGGTATTTTAAACCAGCGGAGGATGAGTAAGAGCGCTACAGCCACAGACACTCATGACTTGAGTGGAGAATCTGGCCATTGCTAGAACTCCAAAATATCCATATTTACAAAAGATCTCGTGGCCACTGCCGCTTTAACCTACGAAGGGGATTGTAGGGATGGGTGGTGCTTGATAGGGATTGTACAACGGGATTTGGGTGATGAGAAAGGTTCTGGTGAAATTTGGAAAATTTGGCTGGGATAAGATCAAGAATAAATGGGATATTAAGGTCATGATGTAGGGTTTTATTGGTTACATAGAAGGGAGCATTGACTATTGTACGGAGGACTTTAGACTGAAAGGATTGAATGCGTTTGATGTTAGAAAATTTGGCTGTTCCCCATAGTTCTAGTCCGTAAGTCCAGATGGGTTTCAGTATTGTCTTGTAGATCAGTAATTTGTTTTCGCCAGAAAGTTTAGATTTTCTATTCAGTAGTCTATATAGCTGGCCATATCGTCTGTTAAGTTCCTGTCTTTTAAGTCGAGTATGTGGATTCCATGTTAGTCGTCTGTCTAAGAGAAAGCCAAGATACCGGACTGTATCTGAGAAAGGAAGCTGGATGGAGTTAAAATAAACTGGTGGGCAGGTATTACGCCGAAGGGTGAAGGTAATGTGTTTACATTTAGATTCGTTTACCTTAATGCGCCATTTCTTACACCAGTGTTCAATCAGGAAGAGGTGCCTTTGTAAGTTTGCGGACGCTGTTTCAGGATCTGAGTTGGAAGAAAGGATAGCAGTGTCATCAGCGAAAGTTGCCAGGAGGGTATCGGGATGGACAGGAATATCAGCGGTAAAGAGAATGTAAAGGATGGGGCCCAAGACGCTGCCTTGAGGAACGCCAGCCTCAATTGAGTAACAGTCGGAGAATTCGGTGCCACAGCGAACTCGGAAGGAGCGGTCGGAAAGATAGGATCGGAGTACTAGGTATAAGGACTGTGGTAGATGGATTTTAAGCTTGAAGAGTAATCCGGCGTGCCATACCCGGTCAAAAGCTTGCGCTATGTCCAGAAATGCACCCGAGCAATACTGCTTGCTTTCTAGGGTTGAGGATATATGGTCAACAACTCGGAGTCCTTGCTGGACAGTGGAATGTTGGGAACGAAATCCGAATTGATGAGTAGGAAGGTTATAGGATTCAATTATAGGTAGGATTCGTTTCAGTAGGATCTTTTCAAAAATTTTTGAGAGGATTGGGAGTAGGCTAATTGGTCTATAGGATGCTGTATTGTTGGAAGGTTTGCCTGGTTTCAAGAAGAGGACGATGGTGGAATGTTTCCATAAAAGAGGGAAGTGGGTAGTTCGTAGGATGCAATTGTATATATATGTAAGAAATGTGATGGCTTTAGATGGAAGTTGTCGAAGGATCTGTGGGGTTAGAAGGTCATATCCAGGGGATTTGTGAGGTGTGATTTTCCGTAAAAGGTATTTGACCTCAGAGGGATTAACAGCTTTAGGTGGTAAGGAGAGTGGGATAGGTATTGAGAGGGATTCTTCTACTTTTACTGTGTGGCTGGGATGGGATTCTGGATGAGGAGCGAAAGTATAGGAAAGGTGTTTGGCAAATTCCTCGGCTTTATCTTCATCAGATGCTGATTGGGCATTTAAGCCCAGCAAAGTGACAAGTGATAATGGTGATAAGAACTGATTGATATTAAAGACCACTTATTACACCGAGTTTACTGTCACATCCAAGCCATATACCTATCTTAAATACGTAAAGCAATTTCGTACGACTTTGTTTTTTCAGCTAGAGTGCTAACACACACACAGACGCACAGACCATTTCGTGGGACTTGGTTATTTGAACTCAGGGAACCTCAAAACGAGTATTTTCGTTGAAAACTCAGATTTGATAATTTTCAAGATCGCAATACTTTTTCTTACTATATATTACATATATAGTAGGTGAAAATAAAAAGCGTGAAATGTATAGTGATGAAATAGTGAAATACACGTCATATTGAACGATGTCTGAAAGTAAGTTATTTATTATGTAATTTAATGTTGTTTATTACTCCGTAAATTTGAAATCATTTTAGTTTCAGATTCAAATACAAACACAGTGGAAAAGTGAATATCACCAACAGAACTGTAATTTACTAATCCATAATCCTTTAAGGTGAATGTACCTACGTAGTAACAGACACTGGACTAATAATCAACAGTTTTCAACTTGTTAACAGACAACAAGCTTTATAGCACCAAAGAGAGTGCAAGCATGAATAGATTGCAGTTGAGGGAGATGAGAATGATGAAGGGGGCGGGGTGGCCAATAAGGCCAAAGCGTGTGCACAGCACCGCGAGTTGCCTGGCAACCGGATTACAGATTTTGAGAGATTAAAAAGCACAAGCTCGCGTCCCGGTGACGGAGATTTTAAAATTCCCCGCCCTCACCTCCCGGCCCGGGAAAATCCCGTATAGCCACCCCTAAAAGGCGAGGCAAGGAAGACCAGAAAAAAAAGTTAGGGGAGATGATGCAAGCATATATTGCCACAAAAGCCGATAGATATTTTGCAACAATAGCCGCTAGATATCTAGCCACAATAGCCGATAGATTTTCTTGCCACAATGGCCGGTTGATTGGTTGTTTTGATGTTGAAGGCGCAAAACATTCAGGTCATCAGCGCCTTATCCACAAAATATTATTATTAAAATATTTAGCTGGTAGGTTTAATGAAAAAGAAAATAATTCTATGCTATTCATTTATAAGACATTAATTTGAATTTTGCTGCCTAAATCAGTCATTTTGCACACCATCACTTCAAATTTTCGTTTACATTTTTAATTATGGTGCTATACATTTATAACATGATTTTCAATACTTAACATAATTTTAATTGTCACATATTAATTACCTAAATCTTTACCAAAGACTTAGGCAGAATCTGAATTTAAAATTGATAGGGGCTTTTGATCGAGTCTAGCAACCGGAACTGCTTTACAAACTCGGTAAATTCCAACATCCTACATACTTCCTCATTATCCGTTCCTACGTAACTGATAGACACTTCAAAGTAAATCACAATAATGCTTACTCGTCCCTCTTTTCCCAGTCCGCTGGTGTTCCTCAAGGTAGAATCCAAAATCCTTCGTAAAATTCTCAATGCTCCTTACTTTGTTACAAATAAAATCATCCATAACGACCTAAGTGTTCATGACCTGGCCCAATCCAGATACCTATCCTTCCATAACAAACTTCAGAGCCATCCAAACTCTCTCATTTCTAATCTTGCTTCCTCCTCGATCCCTGATAACCCTGCGAGGCTTCTGAAAAGATGGCCTCGAAATCTTCATCTTCTCGCGAGAGTGCTACCAGTGGGTAGTTTCTCAACAAGTGGTTTCATGTTATTATATTCTTGTGTTCACATTTAATTAATGTATTTTTATTTCTAATACAGTTTTAAATATCATAAATAATAATAAACAAAAAAATATATAGGTAAATATCTCATTTCCTAAATCGAGTTGTATTTGTGTTTAGATAAAGTAGGAAAAGCCGGTGTCTTTAGGGACACCCTCGAAGAAAGCTAGCTGGCACCACCTTACTCAAATCAACCTCTAAATTGGATATAATTAATTCTATGTATAATCATCAAAAAGTATATTTTAGTCATTTTTTACCTGCTTATTCATTTTGAAAGGAAGAAGGCACTTATTTTGAGACACAACAAGATTTGTACTTTCGAGTTCAATTACATTTTGCAGAACTCTATCGCTGGAAAAACTTTATCTGAGCATTAGGTATATATATATATATATATATATATCCATTTATCCGGTAGAACAATGAGGTGAATCAAATCAAGCAAATCAAAGCAAATCAAACAATTGAGACAAAATAACTAGAATTATTACATGTTATTATTATAAAATTATTATTACATGTTATTATTATAAAATTATTATTACATGTTATTATTATAAAATTATTATTACATGTTATTATTATAAAATTATTATTACATGTTATTATTATTACATGTTATTATTATAAAATAACACAATTTTTAAAATGTATTGTGCTAGTGTAAAATTCTTCTAGCCATTCGAATTTCGCTAATATTGTACTGTAAAGTTGATTCCACCGGAGGAGTGATATTATAATATAATATAAAGTTATATTTTGTGCAATAGAGACAAAGGAGCATGGAGCCAGGAGGGAAGGGTGAGGCCCGGCACAGGTTAATCACGCATTAATCACCACACCTTAGGGACAGGCTATTAATTTTGCCAATTAATTTGAATAAATTCGAGAGTGGAACTAGCTGGCAGATTGAAATAACACTTAGCGTTAGCTATACCTTGATAACGTCTATTTAATTAGCTGATCTCTCTTAGTGCGGCAACAGTCCTCTAATTACTGTGACGACAGTGGGAAGATACCATCTCCGCCGGACAAGTTTCGCCTGAAAATCGAAAATAAAGCGGTCAGGCGACCTCATTGACTATTCAACATTTGGGCTTCGAGGCTAATGAATCCCCCTCATCTTCAAATATTCCTGGAATCCCCTGGAGAAACCTGAAGGCGAAGCGATGTCGTCACTCAAGTGATGTATTTGTCAACACGTGACAACTAAGTAGAAGTATTCCAAGGGATACATACTGGATACATACTGGATACATACTGGAAGGTTTCTTGGACGACGGATCTAACTTCCTGCAGTATACTGCTCAAATCCTGTCTGCTTATGTTTCTGAGGGTATTCGATTTTAAGTCAACACATTTAGTCGACAAGATGCATGCATTAAAAGTATGATAATAAAATATTAATTTTTATGTTATATTGAATTTAATTCTTTAGTAGGTAATAATTGTTCTTTTTAGAATTTATGCGAGAATATGTGAAATATTCATTTATGATAGCATTTTACATACTGTTGTGTCACTAAAATAATTATAAATAAAATAAAATAATTTATATGTATAAAGACTTTCATAAAATTAATTTTCAATTCACATTTAGAACGCAAACTTTTCGCTTCGTATGGTATGGAACATTTCTCAGTTACTTGTAACGTAAACGTGATATGATGAAATCTGAATCGATTAACAATTTTTTAAATACGTCTCTGCTATTATCTATCATTTACTCTTAAACAATCATAGAGATCTATAGGAACTAGAAAAAATCAATCTCTCTATGATATATTTACTCATTTTTTTTATTTGACTATCAAATGTAAAATATTGTAATTATTTGAATGTTAGAAATATTTTAAAACTTCTGTTTTCATTTTGATTTATTTAAATTTAATGCTCTATAAACAAAATATTTTTAACATTACTGCTCCAACTTCTTAATTTCTTTTTACATCAATTATTTTATGTTAAATAATAAGTGCTTCGTGAAAAATAATTATTTGACGGAATATAAGTATTTCACGTAAAATAAATATTGTAAAAATATTCGCGATAGATACAAATATATTGTTTAAAATCCATATCTTGTAGTTTGTATTGTAAACATTAATTGTTCAGGTACTGTATGATTTATCACATATTTCATAACGACCCATTATAATAAAACATAAAATTACACATATATAATAAAATAAAAAAATATTTTTTAAAAATTAGATATTAAACTGGTTATGTTTATAATTTGGTCAGAATAGACAATTAGATATTATTTGGTCAAAACCTGGGTTGAAAGTAAGTCGGATAGGCTGTGGTAGTTACTCAAAATACAACGTTCCCGCGTATTAAATCCTTAATAACTTCAGAGGATTAAACCAACCAGAGAAAACCAAAAATCTGGAATTGGAACTGCATAAACATAATGTGGATATCGTGGCAATTCAGGAAAGCAAATGGAAGAATGTAGAGATTCAGGATCTGATTAGGTACACAATGTGGAGATGAAAACAATGTTTTTAGAACAGTTTTCATGATAAGAAAATCATTAAAGCATGCTTTAAATAGGGCAGTTCGATAAAAGGGCAATTCTGTAATATATCCTTAATTAGTGAACATGCCCTAACTGAAGAAAAGGAAGAGGAGGTTAAACAGGACTTCTATGGGACCCTCACAAATGAATTGGAATAAATTGCTGGATACGACGAAAAAATCATTCTGGGCGATTTTAATGCGAAAATGGGCAAAGAAGAAGTTTTTAAACCAACTATTGATATGCAAAGCAAACATCAGGACTCCAATGACAGTGGACCAAGATTGGTAGACTTTGCTACAGAAAATGGCTACAAGATAATAAGTACGCATGTTAAGCACAAGGAAATCCCTAAAGAAATCTGGATATCAGCAGATGGTAACACTAAGAACCAAATAGACCACATATCGGTACACAAAGGACATACAACAAACATGAAAGATGTACGTAGTTATAGAGGTGCTGACTGTGACCCAGATCTTCCTACTACCTTGTAAAATCTTCCTTCAAATATAAAATATTTCTACGACCTCGAACTACGGTTGGAAAGCTACAGAGCTTATTGTGAGTCAACTGAAGAAAGAGGAATGTAGTAACAGATTTTTACGAAGAACGAGAGATGAAGAAGTAGAGCCGCCTTAACAGGAAGAAGTTGAAGAAATCATGGGCGAATTAAGGAACAATAAGGCTCCTGGTATTGATGACATACATTTATTCAGAAATGCTCAAAAATGGAGGGGATAATTTAAAAAGATGTATCCCACCCAATTGGCGTGGGATGTTTGGTTTGAAGAGAGAATGCCTGAAGAGTGGAAAATGGCAGCGACATTTCCCATTCGTAAAGAAGGCGTCAAACTATCTTGTGGCATTTATCGAGGGATAGCACTACTGAATACAGCCTACAAGATATTCTCTGTATTATTGAACCGGCGGCTGATAAATTTTTCCGAACAGATAGTGGGAAAATATCAGTGTGGTTTCAGGCCTAGAAGAACAACCATCGATCAAATATTCTCACTAAATATATATCCCCTTTCAAGACCAATTCTTGAAAGGGGATATATATTTCACGTTGACCTCCATAATTTATTTACCGATTTTAAACAGGCATACGAAAGTATTGATACAGAAGAATTACTGACGATAATGCTTGGGGCGATAATAGGAATCCCCAGAAAGCTCCTAGGCTAGCAAAACTGACCGTGCATGGTAGCAGGATGAAGATACAAATACAGTGTATGCTATCAGAAGAACTTGCAGTAAATGAACTTAGGCAGAGAGAGACCCTCTATCACCTGTCCTTTTCAATTTAGCCTTGGAAAAGGCTACTAGGGCAATACGAATGGAAGAATTTATGATCGGCTCACACAGCACTTGGCATATTTCTATTTTTTTTTCTCCCATTCCTCGCCTTTAAGGCTATACGGGGGTTTTCCCGGGCTAGGGAGTGTGGGCGGGGATTTAAAAACTCCTCCAGCCACCGGGACGCGAATTCGTGACTATTTTTTTTATCAAAGTCTTATGTATCAGGTTGCCGGGCAACGGCGGTGCAGTGCATACGCGTTAGCCCATTCGGCCACCCCGCCCACCAGCACTTGGCACATGCAGATGATGTGCTCATAATGGCAAGAAACATAGTAGCGCTAGGAGGAGCTTTTGAGGAGTTTGAAAGGGAAGCAGCAGTGGGCCTTCGTGTAAATGAAGGAAAAACAAAATATTTAAAAACTTGCAGGCACCAACAACTGGGATACCATGACCTGCAGATTGGCGATCACAGTTTTAAAAGTACAAGCACTTCAAGTACCTGGGTGCAGTCATTGCGCCCGACCAGAAGTGAACGCCAGGCTGGCTGCGGGTGACAAGAAGTGAACGCCAGGCTGGCTGCGGGTGACAAGAAGTGAACGCCAGGCTGGCTGCGGGTGACAAGAAGTGAACGCCAGGCTGGCTGCGGGTGACAAGAAGTGAACGCCAGGCTGGCTGCGGGTGACAAGAAGTGAACGCCAGGCTGGCTGCGGGTGACAAGAAGTGAACGCCAGGCTGGCTGCGGGTTACGTATGGCAGACCTGGGAGACCCTTAGTTACGTATGGCAGTGAATCCTCAATATTGACCAAAATTGTTTGAAACGTGGTAACTACTGTATATGTATATATTTAAAAACTTATGATTAAGCTATCTTAGGGCACACTAGAAGTAAACGATAAATTAGTTTGATGTTAATGCACTGAAACTTCAAAATGATAAATTAGTTTGATGTTAATGCAGTGAAACTTCAAAATGATAAATTAGTTTGATGTTAATGCAGTGAAACTTCAAAATGATAAATTAGTTTGATGTTAATGCAGTGAAACTTCAAAATGATAAATTAGTTTGATGTTAATGCAGTGAAACTTCAAAATTTTAGCTTTTGTTTTTTTTCCTAATGTTAGCTCGCCGCAGTGTTCGATCGTAAAATCTTTAGTGAAAAAGCGCCACTAATGTTACACTTAAATAAATGAAAATTTCAAGTATTTTCAAAGATGGAAATGATTTCCCTTTTATTTTTTTCTATAATCTATATTTTGAAGTTTACAGGAGTTGGCAAGCTCAGAATTGACCGGAGTTATAATACTAAGAATACAATAAAACATTCTATATTAATTATCACAATTAGTCATCATAATCACATTAAAAGAT